TATTTTTTATCCTTTCAATCATATGAAAAAATGTAAATTTAAGAAAAACAATAATATGATTAAATGGAATAAATCGTCAGTCATGGCATCACATGAAATGAAAATACAGAGGAAATTCAGAATAAATAAAACTTGGCCCTACGTGTACGCACGGAGCAGTCACACTTCAGGCATAGGGCATTTCCTTTATTTAATAACAATAAAAAGTTATTTACCTTCTTTTTTGTAAGACTACAGCCCATCCTCATTTTTAATATGTAAAAAAAGACGACAACTCAAACCCAACACGAACACCTGTGGCTGTAGTTATTCCATTGTTTACAAAATCACATAGTAGAAGTTACTCCCCTTTACGCAGTGCTCGAAAAACTGAGATAACTTGAGACGAGTTTTTCCAGCATGTCCAGTCTGTAAATCTTATAATGTTTTTTTTTCCCAAGTAAGCATCTTTTGTTGTAAATGCTTCTGAAAGGGGATTTCTCCTCCGTATGCACACAATGCATGGTTTAAAAATAAGGAATTATAATAAGTAAATTCATCACTGTTAGGGTACACCTATATAATTTTGGTTTTTAAATATTTTCATTGTCAGTTTATATACCAATATAAACATGAATAAGAGTCCTCATTTGTCAACATAAAATTGCAATCAGTGCATGAATTAATCATATATATTAAAAGCTTAGTACACAGTACAGAATTTCGGAGACTGACATAGAAAAATCTCAATGATTTTAACTCGGATTGATCTGGGACATTATATTATCTTCGATCTTGTATTTATTTATGCACATGTATACAAATAACACTCGTACACACAGAGGGAGTGTTGCATGACTGAAATGCAAACACGTGGAGGGATGTCTCCTATGGAAATCAGTCAAGTTTTCCAAGAAACTGTCGGTATTCCCATGGGTACAAATTGTGCTCTATTATTAGCAGACCTGCTTTGTACTTTTTAATGATTATTATATTTGCATCTTTAAATATATTTTTTCTCCTTATTTTTCATTTTTAAATCAAATTGCATCTCATTAAAAACATCAAGTCCTATATTTTATTCCATGTGGAAAAAGTTTAGGAAAACTTTTATTTCATTTTTAATTGAAACATTAACAAAAATGTAATAGTTTAAAATTTTCTAAGGGGGCCGAGTGGGGTTTTATTATGTGAAAACTACAATAGCGAAACTCTTCATTTTTAACTTACATTAACTTCAGTGTACATGCCAAGTTTTGGGAAAATCTACCGTCCAGGTATTTTTAAGAGACCGTCTTAAAATACAGGTGCATTTTTAGCACTTTAAAGCAAATTACTCAGTATACAGATACTACGACAGACTTTTTGTTCAAACTATAATATATGATGAGTAATACTATATTGTACATTATATGTAAGAAACACAAAATTCCAGAGGGGGCATCTCAAAATGCCAAAAATTAACGAATTTTCCTGTTTTTATAAAGTACAACAAAATAAGACAGACACAAAGTATTTATATGAAAACATAATAAAATTATGGAAATATTCTCAAATTTTTATGTTTAAAATTTTAAGAGCGTATGTTCATTACTTTTTCTTTAATAGCATTTTTATTACTCCTTTCTTTAAGAGCTTCAGTTTATCATAACGTCAAAAACACAATGTAACGACGTCAACCTACCTATTAATTGCAAAATCGGTTAAAAAATCAGATACATGAAATTGTAATTATATTCTTAAACCTATGATTACTTAATTTTGTTTAATTTTATCAATTAATTGAACTTAACTTATGAATATTTTCTGAATTGTTACAACTGTAAAGCTTTTTTTAAAATACAGGACTGAGTTGCTCAAAACACTGGTTAGCGTTAACCGCTGGTTAAATCTCCTATCCAGCGGTTAACTTTTAACCGTTGGTTAAATTCTGTTGCTCAAACTTTGTCCACTGGCTAACTTTGCTATCCAGTGGTTAAATATTGGCTAAAGTTAGCCATTCCACAGAGGTGGGTTAAGTCACTTATCCGGTGAATAAACATGGCTTCTAGATTGGTGTTCGATGTTAATTTTGGCAGACGACAGAGGAAACAGAGAGTTTTTAGACATTTTCATCATGATTTTGATGCATCTGAGTATAAACAAAGGTACAGGTTTTCACGCGAATCAGTCCAGTATATAACAGACTTGATTGAACCAGAGTTATGTCGCCCAACCATGAGGTCATACTCCCTTTCAGCCATAAGTCAGGTAGAAATGGACTGAGATCTTTAACATTCCATCAGAAGATGCTGAAGGATTTATCCCAAAAGAATAAAAGCTTTTCTGGATACTAATCAGAAGGGTAAAGTTAAAGGACAGGGACTTGCAGAATGCTATTCCGAAATATATGACGTTTTCGGGTTTGTTTTTTTTTTTAATTACGATTTTGATATTTTGCGTGCCAGGAAAACACATCAATTTGAGGGTTAAAACAGTTTTAACTGACGAGCAACATGAAATTCAAGGTCAGGGGTCCATAGATTCAGGTCAGAGGGCTGAGTCTTTTTGATTTACTATTAATGATACTTAGATTACGTCTGTGAATTTCTTCTCGACTCATGGCAATAATTGATATATTATGGATCTATCAACATTTATTTGAAGAAAGCAAACATTCAACTGCAAATATTGTGCGCAACAATTCAACAAATTAATGATATTATCAGTGAATTTCTGTACAAAATAACTTTTTTAATCAGTGAAAAAAAATCTTAATGTGAGCACTGATCAGAGCAAAACACGTCTCTGTAAACACCTGAAGAGTAAACATCGGACTCAACCCGTGAATCGTGTGTATTGATCAGGTAAACAGAGTACGTAATCAAAATCATTATAAAAGCAAAGATCTACCAAGATGATATGAATCATGTCAGACAAAATACGACCCAATAACAAGTTGTATTTACGAACAAGATCATTGGAATTAGCGAAAAGCAGACTTTAAACATGGTTGTTGAAATCCTTGTCAAATCAAACTATTTGTCAGTAGCTTGCCTCGGTTTAAAATTGATTGTACCAAGAGCAAGCTCTATCCACTGAGATCACTGTTATATATCGAATCGACATATGTATGAAGTAAGTACAATCATTCTTTTTTCTTATATATAAAACATTGTTGATATATCTGCGTTGCTGAAGAATGTCCAATGCATGTTTTAAAATTGCATGGGTTAAGGTGTGGAGAACGACTTTACTAGTACAAGCGCTGAATTATTTCACTTTCCAAATACTCATTTACGGTCTAGCATGATCGTTCATTAAGATGAGGATTCTCCCCACGGTACCTGCAATCAGTCTACAATTGGATGAAGATTATCATCCAGGTATTCCAAACCTGTTAGGGAGCCTTTAATAATGTACAGGGTAGGTTTGTAGTCAACTCTTTGGACAAAAAACTAAATCATCAAAAAACCTCAGAAATGCAACAATCGGCATGATCTTTTCCCTCTTTGCTCTCCAAACTAGTCTCCTGACATCATAGACGTCAACACAAATAAATGGCGACTCCCCTGAGAAGAGAACAGAACGGTAATGACGTTGTTCCCATTTCTGTGTTCTGTTGTCCACTGTATAGTTGATTCTGCGATGCTCTTATCTTGATACAGGACGTATGGCTGGTCGGCAAGCCTTGAGTTTGCTTCATGAAGCCTGTTTCGAACTGTCAGAGTAGAAATCTGTCTACCTGTTGCTCTCTAAAACTCAGAATTAAGCTTAACATGCTGAACAACTTTGGAAGCGATACCTCTTTGCAATATTGGCCAAATAACGGTCCTCAAGGACTATCAAACGTCTTGATTGTGGCCTTTTTTGACAAATTCCTGCTTGTAAATTGTTCCATAAACGGCTAATGACACATTGGTAAACATGAAGTCTTTTTGCAACGTGACGTTGCCTTTTGGCAGCTTCCAGCACTGCCTTGGAGCGTTTGCCCATACTTACGTTCCTCCTCATAGCGTCTTATCACCAATTCTAGCCAGAAATACTGACATTTTCTTGTGTTCACTACAGAAAACCCTCCTAAATACATCTATGTGCCTATTGTTCCACTTATTGTTTAACCTTCTTATTTTTTTACCTTCTTGAGCAGTACCGTATAGCGGGTTTTCTTGGCGGGTGTAAAATTTGGCGGTTTGCCTGCTCAAAGGAATGCCAATAATGTTGGCGTAATTTATTATAGCGGTCACAGGGTTTCAATTCTTTGTAGATGAACACTATAAGAAGTGTACTGAATATTTTAGCGATAAAAAGTTTAGCGGGCTACCATAAAAACGCCAAAATAAGCCAAAATTAACATCCCGCCAAAATAACCCGCTATACGGTATGGTGCAAAACTCATCAAATACGTGTATCGTGTGAATGGCATGTTTTTTTAAAAACTCCTTGAGTCTTATTGTCACATAGATTCACAGGTATGGAAATACTTTCTTGTATAAATTTATGATCCCAATTAATTTTGTCCATTATATTATAAATACGATGGTTTATATATGCCCCCGTAATATGATTCTTGGCTTAGATGTATAGTTTTGGCCCTGTCCGTCTCTCTGTCGATCTGTCTTTTTCCCTACAAAAACTTTATCCTTGCCCATATTTTTTTAAAGAACGGAGCTTTGGGTTTCATATTTCACATGTGTATCCCTTGTGACAAGACCTTTCTTTAGGCATTTTACCTCTTGACCTTGGAGTTTGGAACACTTTTGCAAAATTTTTCCAAAATTAAACCTTAACCTTAATTTATGATCAATAGAGTTTACCCAATTTTAGGTTTTGTCGCCAACTTTTCCTGAATATTTCTGTATTGTTACAATGAGAAAACACATTAAAGATGCCTCTGGAGAAAGATAATATTCAACGTGTGCATTAGTTTATACGAGTTGAAACTGAAGGCAATAACATGTCAATACATAAAGAAATAATAAACAGTCAAAGTACTCAAGTTAAATTTTTTTTTTTAAATATCCCTTCAGCAAGCTATTGTTGAATAACTGAGCATACCAATAAGCCCTATATATAACGACAGAAAACTATGCATATTAACTTTAATAGTACTACTTTAATAAACTCACAGTACTCATTCATATCCAATAGTTAAAATAAATACATTTCATGCAAGTAATAATAATAACAATGCCATGACACCGAAACAAAGATTTATGATCCACGCACCTGTTCAATGATAAACGCGCATATGTAGTGCAATGTATAGTAATTAGTTGGTCTAATAGCACAATATCACAGAATAGTCCATTACGGTCACAATAATTCCAATTAAAAAAATGCACTAAACAGACTCTTCACTCAATCAGAGCACATCATCCTCCAAACTAAATATTGACTAGAAACTGAATGATTTGTATGGTTCTTAAATCACTCGTAAGAGTCTGGTTATTCGCTAATAGTGGATTTCCGCAGGGATTCTCTTCCTTTCGATCTTTTAGGTCTTCCGTCGGGAATAACAATGTCTGGGAAGTGACTTTTGCCACTAGGTTCTGACCCATGCATTAACCAGGTCATGACAAACTCTTTGGAGGGCATGCCCCTCGGTAAGGTATTCAATAAAGGCGGGGGCTGCCTGCGCTCGGGATTCTCCAGCTTTCCGTCTTTTAACAGTTTAGTTTTCCTCACCGTACTTGGCGAATGCTGTCCAGCGTGATAATTACTGTGAAAAAGTAAATCATTTCTTTTGTCTTTTTTGAAATGAATAGCACAGGGCGAGGCGCGTACCTCTGGAAGAATTTGAGCAGACTCCGTCTTCACTGAATTGGCTTTGGCAACTTTGTCTATGGCATCCTCTGGGAGATCGAACCCATCACTGCTGCTGTCCATTGCTCTGAAAAAAAGATAAACAACGGTCACGTTCAAGTAGAGTAAACCAAGCACTCTGACAGAGAAAATATCTTTTATCTTCTGTCCACCATTTACAGATCATTAAAAATTCATACTGTTTCAAGAGCTGTGTATAAGAATGTGACACGGGTAATAAATCATATCAGATAAACCATTGACGAGACTCGATACCTGTGTTTGAGTACAGAATGACTTTCTCCTCTATAATTTATGTGGACGATAACCATTTGAGACAAGTTTTCCATCAAATTCAAAGTGACCTACACTTGGTTGGAGACTCCCATATTAAAGTTATAGGAGCTCGAGACAACATAAAAAAAATATTAAACAATACAGCATGTATTTTCAAAAAACGTCTTAACGAAAATTTATTTTCATTCTTCGGCTCGAGAATTGTGTTTAATTGTGTTCAGATTTAATCCCAACAATCCAACAATAGCATTCACAAATCCGCACAGAAAAATTAAAATAGGAAATTATATTTGTTTGACCAAACCCACGTATATAAATGCTGTACCAATAGGCATTTTTCTATATTCTTTAGTTTACCATTGGTTCCCTCAAAGCCAAACCGCCAAACATCCGACAATGGATGCATGGAAGAAAACCAAATTCTTACCTGGACTCTCGCGGCGTAATGCGTGCAGAGAGCAAACAAAAATTGCATTTTTTCCTCCGTGCTGTCATATTACCGAGTGATTCATAAGAATTTCATAAATGTCCCCACAATCAAGGAACCTTTCCAAACGAACATGATATCCTATCATAAAGTCAAAGGCGACCGGTCACAACCCAGTTATGTTTATATGAATAGTGTGATAAATTACTCCAATGCTTTCAGTACATGGCCTAAATAAGTTCCGAGATTTTGTCCAAACGGTCATAAGTTTAGGTATATGTTTCTGGACAATGGAATTCGGATCTTCAGAATATGCAACGTCACCCGGAGCAATATAGTGAACAGTGACTTTATAATAAGTTAATATCCCATTTAGGAGACCCCAGAAACTCTTGAAAAAATCTGAACAGCAATATTTACACTCGAATTTAAACGGCGTTATCTACTGAAATAACAGGACCACTACAAATTATTTGAAATTGGCGATCAAGCATAATGCACATTAAAGAGATATAAAATATAAATGGTTGGGTACATGACATGTCGATTGTTTATTCAAAGATAAGATTTTTATGTCGATCTTCATCTGTTTGATTTAGGATCAAACGTGATAGGCTGGTACTCCAAAGGTTTTAATTTATTTTTTCCTTCATTTGCTTAAAACACAAGACCCATTTCAAGTCTCTAACATATGGTCGTCACGTTAACATTCCAAAACCTCTTGCAAAAGCTTGGCACTAAGAGCGCTTAAATCCTCAATAAACCATGTAAACTGAGCGACACAGAAGAACGCGCAGCAATCATTCTGGGTTTTTGATTCCTATTTCCTGGTACAGAATTTTTCTTAAATTGTCCCTTTGACTTTTTTCCTTTCGAACAGAAGATACATCCGCTAGAACATATTATATGTCTGACAATTATTAGCTGTAAAAACTTTTGACATCGATTGTAAACTTAAGATTATATCCCGTTACTGTAAACACTTGTTCAGCTTTCAGTGTTTAAAGCAAAACCATATATTCTCAGGAAACTATCAAACATTTAAACAATGTCCCACTGTATGAACAACAATCCAAAGAGGTGGGATTAAGAGCTACATTCAAAGGGTACAAAAGTTGCAATGTTTAGAAATCTTAAGCAAAGGATCTTAATTTGTAAGAAATTCAAGAACCTTGACTTCATATGTTCTAACTTATGCACAAGATAAATGGGTATAATACATTTAGTAAAGAAAATGAAGATCGGAGTAAAGACTTTGCAAATGAAAGCAATCTTCCAAACAAAAGACTCTTTGCTTTGATGTATTATGTATAAGATAACCAAACATTAAAGCACTGTGCAGATTTTAATATCAAAATTTGATGGATTTTGTCGCAGATTTTCTTTCGCGAAATGGAATCTTTGGAAAACCACCAAATGCCTCAGAAAAACAAACAGTATAACAAGCGCTACATTTGGTATTTCCGATTGTGTCATTGGACAGCATTGTTCATGTAACCATGAACAATAACCTGGGATCTATTAGAATTCGATACCAATGTTATATAAAGATTTAAAATGCTGAAATCAATACAAAAGAATTGAGACACTAGTAATTAAAATAACCCGCTACAAAAAGTGCATGACAATGGCATGGTGTTCTGATAGTCTTTGCTCGATCTCAAAGTTACAGGAATGTTCCCTTTTAGTTTTCTTTTATCACAAGATGAAAGCTAACATGGACACATAGATTCCTACCTGATAGCCACAGCATTGCCCGAGACGGCAAGACTGTCCATGGTCGCTCTGAATTGAGCGGGCCTTATCGTCACCCGCAAACAATGTGTCTGCTTAGAAGTAAACTCAATACATAACTATTTGATATCAAAGTATACACAGCTTTTAAAAAGAACCTGTCTATTGAATGCAGTAGTTGATTAAATGATCGAATTATCTATACATTACAATCCCAAGATAAACATTTTTGGCACCGTTCACAGACCAAAAAACGGAATTAAAAGGGATGTGTTTATATAACGCATTTGAACAAGTGTTATGGTCACTTCAATTTTTTAAAATCTCTGTGCAAAGTCACTAATCCATAAATTTAAAAGAATTGTTCAATGATTGTAATTGACGTGTGATGCAAACATTTAATCTATTGTTTAAGGAGCACAGGATCAAAATTAAATAGATTTGCAGAGCCGACCTCTTATCCCTTAGCTATAAATTTTAACATACACGTTTGTTTTGGCATTTAAACCATATTTCAAATCAATTTTAAAAAAAGAAAAGAAAAAAATGGATTCCCTTACACACATACCCCCCCCCCCTACACACACCCTCCATTATTCACATACACACACAACTACGCCAAGTGGTGCTTATCAAATTGATTGAGGGTGCTTATTCAATTGAATTGGGGATGTTTTCTTTATGAAAAAAACTCTTTGTTTGAAGTTGAACTTACTATTAAGGACATATGCAAGGTACCTTACCTACTGATAATTTGTCAAGAAATTCTAATTTTAAACTTATAATACCATTACATGTTCTTAGACGAAAAATCAGCATATGTTACCAGGAGTTTTGAAATTATCTCAAATTTTGAACATTTTTGCTTTATTCAAAGAAAAATGTACAAAAATTACAAAACATAAATTCCAGATTTTTTCCCATTATAATTTGTTTTAGAAGAGATGTACAAATCCATGTATAGACACTAAAAGTATTGCACACAGGTCCTTTATTTAGTGGAACTCTTCAGCTCCAGGGAAGAACCCAATAAAGTTCAAACTACGTTGCGGACGAGAATAAATGGACAGTTTCCTTCAGTCTGTATAAGTATATAAACGTCTTCTAACGCTCTTATTGTACAAGGACACTGTATATATCTTTTTTTTGAAACAGTCTTCATTGTACAAAACATCACCCAAAAAATCTAGGATCCGCATAGATCGAATCTTTATCGTGATCCTCCTGCCTATGTAACTAAATCTCCCTTTCACATAGGTGCATCATATTCATCGCAAACCATTCATGATTTAACTTGTTTGTCTCCCTTATAGAATTTGCATCTTGAAAGAATATAGCACTTCCAAAAATCTCGTTAAATTCTTTCTTATAGCCCAAGACACTTTTCCCAGTCAATGTCAATTGACTTCTTTTACTCTTTTTTTGTGAAACGAGATAATCAACAGGGTTAATCAAGGCCCCCTCCAAATCTGACGAGATATGAATTTAACTTAAAAGAAGTAGAAGTGAATATTTGGGTATCTATTTTTTAAAAATAAAATTCTTAAGTGTTATTCCTTTTGTGTAACTGCTTATGTGATTGTGAAACATGTTAGAATTATGAATTATTTGTATATCAGTAAACATTGTCTTACAATGCAATTTATTTGAAGGGAATTTTATTTTAAAGATACACTTCTTAGCTTGCACCAAGTGTACCCAGTATCCGGTTACAATTCAGTAAGATTATAATTTACAATTTCTTAAAGTAATTTGATCGTCTTTTTGTTCTACAGCATTTACCTCTCCCATTTTCATTCAACTTATTCTGAAAAGCAAACAGCCGTGCAGTTTTTAAATATAATGAAATGTGTCCAAAAATCTGTGTGCAGAACCCCCTCTGCATGGTTTTCGATTTTCTTGCACTTGCGAAACATTCTCCCGTTATCTACCCGGCGATTGTTTTTCTTTTATTTTCGGGCTTCTTATAGAAGCTGTGACCAAAACTACCTATGAAATAACACTTGTTATTCGCGAAATACTTGCCTATCGTCCGTGATCGGTTCCACCCGTTTCTTTATAATGGTAAACTGATGTCCAGACCTCTCAATTTTCTTTTGACTAAATCTGATATCAATTCTGTTTAATCCAATGAGTGGGAAGATTTCCGTCAGCTCGGACACTAGGGTGGGTGTAAACAGCATTTCATCCCTGCCTATTTGGGGTAGAATTGTTTTTTCTCTCGTCATTGGTCGTCTTGCCGACATGAAGACACTAGTGTTTTATCGCAAAAGAAACACAAATATATTCATAACTTAAATTGCATTTCCATATTTTCCCCATCATTATTTAAACATCCCACATACGAATATATCGCTAGAGGAAACAGGACAACGTCCTTTTGCGATTTGTAGAAATCTATCGACGCTGATCTTATTATAAGCTTGCAACAAAATAATTTGTATTTGGTCCGTATTACACAACAAATCCGATTAAATACTTCCAAATTTCACATAAATTTTAGCACACTACTTTGATTAAAAAGTTTAGACCCAGTCACTTTAACATAAATCAGAGTCTAATACGATGTCTTTAAAATCAAAAGCTCCTTCAATCCACTTTCAATCTGTTATTTAGGACAAAATAAAACGTCGATTCCTCCCTTTTGATTGGAGCGTATTTAGATAATAATGCAGTACTGCAAAACTTGGACCAATTTATATCAGTATTAAAGGGGTCCCATGCATCCATAATCTTTTGTTTACTCTGCAAATCGACCACATCCAATATTAAGGTATAACGATCATATATCCATTTAGACCGATACTTAATGTACCTCCTTAACAAAAGAATACTTCTTTTCGAACATTAAGGGATATTCGATTTTGTGCTACACGCAGTGCATCTTTCATAAAACATTGGTCTTTGTTGCGGAAAACCAATTTTCAAAAGACCGTATCATGCTGTGGTCACCCACGAGGCGGAGGAGTCTCACAAGAGCCAGTTATTTAGTGTTGACGTTTTTTCATACCCCATAGTCCATGAAATTTGGGCATATCAACTTTCGCGAAGATCTAGAGCCGTCGAGTTTGAAGACGTCAAAGGTGTATCGTGCAAAGTATATTTAAATAGTAACAATGTGTAAGCAGCCATCTGCATAAGTGATGAGGATTAAGTTTCTTATGAAATTTGGTAAACAGCATTTAAATCCATTTAAGCCTCTCAGAATGCAGTTAGATGTGTTCCCAAAGTTAAAAATTTCAGCCCAAACTTCATTTTAGTTATCACGGTACGAAATCCTATATCTTTTTCAGCTACCAAAAAAAAAATCAGTTAACTAAATTCATTGTTTAGTTATCCGATGCAACACATAATCGAAGTAGAGAAAAGACAAATGATTCTTTATTGTTCGAACAGTTCAGTGTCATTATCTTGCACAAAGCAGGGCTTTCATTAATTATGGAATGTAATAATACAAGTAAATAAATCTCCACATACAAACACGGCGTTCAATGCAATCGTCTCTTTTTTTGTCATCACAAATTCATGAGGCACTCTGAAGATCGATGATATATTGATTTTAAACTAATTAGCACCCTTTTGCTTGACTGTTAAATTAATTTAATACCTATACGACATATTGATTTACACGAAAAAAGTAGATCAGGAAAAATATAAACTCGGGAAATAAAAATGTAATGAATTACCCTATACTTCAAATATACTGAATATAATGAACTCATGAATATAATAATTTTGCTAGACTATATGTTTGTCCATTTTTATATCTCGTTTTCTGTCCAAAAATCGTATTTAGGCCATACTAGATCTATTATATACTAGTACTTTAAAAATGTTAATTGAAGGTCATATCTCACAGGTCAAGGTCAATTGACCATAAACATTGTAAACACGTCCGAGCCACAGCTTGAACTAATTAAATCATAGTCCGACTTAAATATCAAACAATTTCTCTTTTTTTTTTGTATATGACCTAATTGTAGCATTATTTTAATTTCAGGTCACATATTCCAGGTTACTGGGAATAACCTCTTCGTAACCACAAAATAACTTTCTGTATCGGGAGCTTCTACATGTGCATCGTCGGAAACCCACGGGTGATCTCGTCTTTACTTATCACCCGTGGGCAAACTCGCCGAAAAATCGTCGTTTGTAATTAAATATGCATGGGTCATTTGATTGGCCGCATCACAGAGTCGCGATGCGAAACAACGAATCACAGTTCACGTTATGTGTGCATGTTCGGCATTGTAAAGTAATTCATTGATGATCAGGCGTATTGTTCGGGAAAGAGCGAAATCCATTGACGGTCAAAAATACGAAAGTCCAGAAGGCTCATTCGAGATTCAAGATCCAAACTAACCAATCAAAAGCGGGTTCAACATTTGATTACTCCCCTTTGTTATGTTTTTACTCTCAAGAAATCGTTGAATATTTTTATAACAAATGGGTCATTTGCTAAAATGATAATGAAAGAAAAAATGTTTTATGTATTAAAACGAAAAAAAAAAAAGATTTGGATTACATTTTGAAAAATACATATATATATATAATCTTATTTTTCTCATTAAACAAAATAGTAAATACGTATATATATATGGAATATTATATGGTCTTAGCGTTGACTTGCGATATAAGAGGGAGAATATTGTTTTTGATTATAATTACATAGCCTTTCAAGTTCTACAAAGTAACATTTTCAGTGTGTTTGGAAAAATGGGCAGGTAGGGTGGATAGAGGTGGGATTGTTTTCTCCTTTATTTTCATCGTATTTTTCGCCACGTCTCAAAACAAGAATCATTCTAATTTTTACGAATGAAGACAAAATTTCATTCACCTATGCAATTTTCATTAGTAAAAATATACACAATCTTGATTTGTTTTATTGAGATACAATGAGATGAAAATTCATTTTTAATGACATGTTTGCAATACAGATAATTAATTAATTATAATCAAGCTGAAATTGTTTGCATCGAAATGGTTTCCTTATTGCGATGGTAATGTAGCGGTAAACATCAGAAGACCAAAAGTTAATTGATGGTGGCCACGCGTGTCAAACAAGGTGAAAGAGATATACACAGGGACTAGTAGCTGACTGTCAATCAATTTCAAGTACCCAATGATGGACCTTAATTTATTTGATTGACAGGTGGATACAGACCAGATAAATCAGAAGGCGTTGCTTATTATCTCGGGCTTTAAACTTTAGACACTTGACACTTACACTGTATTTATAACTTTATTTAAATGTAATCAACCTGTAAACAAAGTAGATAATACAAAAATATATATATACTCCTGATATATGTATTCTATTTAATATTTAAGAAGCCATAATATAAATTGAAGTATATCTTGCTGATCAAAAATCAGATGATTATTTAAATTTCCTTCTAATATATACAACAGTCTTTCTTGCATTGTAATTTAATCAAATGAATCATTTGTTATAAATAAATTAAACGATTTCTTGATAGTAAAATCATAATAAAGGGGAGTAATCAAATGTTGAGCCCGCTTTTGATTGGTTAATCTGGATCTTGAATCTCGAAACTCGAATTTGGAATCTCGTATTTCGAACCTCGAATCTCGAATGAGCCTTCTGGGCTTTCGTACAAAAACTCAATTCAATACCGTTTAATAAAAAGGTATAACTAATATGAAAGGTATATGGTATGATGCACCGTAAAAGTTTATTGTCGGCTTTCAAAAGCATAGACAAATTAATGATGCATGCAACTAATGTTCAAACAACTACAGAACCGTATTTCTATCAATGAAATTCATAAAAATCAATGGAATGTCGAAGGTTTTATGTACGCATTGTTTGTCCTATACACTTTGGGTGGAAATTTAATTTCAAAATAAAAATTTCATTAGGGTCTTCTCATAGATCAAATGAATATTTCTTTAAACCCCTATATGAAATTAATATTCTATAAGCTGATGTCTTATTTTTATGGTTAGGACTCGGTCTGTAAAGATTTTCCCTCACCTCTTTGCTATAGAGCATGGGTATTTAAATTTGGGTATGTTTGTCTATCACTCAGTCTCTATATGTCTAAATCTGTTATTCTGTTTCATTCGAACACTTGTTTCCAGGCGATGTTTAAAAAAAGAATATTTAACGTTTTACATTTTAAATCCCTGCGTCTTAAATTGAATAATACAACTATGGATTTGAGGTCGAAAGATGAAGGTAAAAAGCAAAGCAAAACAAAAAACAAAAATTAAAAAATAAAACAGAAACAAAAACAAACCAAAAACAAAAAACAAACAATTCAATCAATCAATCAACATATACACACTTTGGGTTGTTCTTTCTCGATTTTTGATCGAAAGTAAATTATTCTTATCATAATTTCCAAAGACGTAAAAAAAGCCTTACTGATTTTGAGACGACGAAGTTGCATGCTAAAGTCAGGAAATCTTATTCTGCATGAAATGGTCTTTACATTACATCAATCATTTCTTGTGAAACATGAGGTTTTGTCTCTTTCAAACTTATCAAAGTGCACTTTTGAGGTCAAATGAAGAGAAATCACTAATAATGCCCCCGTAATCAAAGATTCGGGGCTATATAGTTTTACCCTCTCCGTCCGTCCGTCCGTCTGTCTGTTTGTCCCCAAACTTGAACCTCATAACTTTTGAGTGGGTGGGGCTATGGCTATAATAATAGTATTTCACAGGTATACATATATTGTTCATTTTTCACCTGTGTCTGTGAATAGCTACAGTACCCGTAAGACCTAAAACCAATTCAAATATCCAGTGTAAATACAGCGAACATACGAGGGGTAATCAAAAAGTTTGATTTGTTTACACCATAGAAATGATTTAAACGAGACAGTTGATATCCTTGATTTATCAACTTGTTGGCCATTAGCTTACCTTGATTTAAAAATTGTCCGTACGCAGAACATGCTCTCGTGTATTAAATCAACTGGGAGACGCAGGTGATATGAAAAGCGTATTGCTACATGAGCAAAACGACTGTTTTCCTTGTTTTAATTAATGCTATACGTTTTTGTTGTCTCGTGAGTCGGATGGGCTTTACTATCTTAATAGTTAAATATTGTTGGAGAAATAAAACATTTTTTTAATAAGACAATAAGAAACATTTCTTATTTTTGATTTCTGAGATTATTTTTAAAAAAGTTTAGACATTTAAAATTGAAGTAACGTTAGCAGTATAAATAGTTCGGTTTCCAATCATGCAGTCTTTGTCTGGGTCCACAAAAAGGTTATTGTAATGTTTCTTTCATAGTTTCGCAGGTTTTCATTTTTGAAACAACAAACAATTGACCATAGAAACCTAGTTATATGCAGTATTAAAACAAATATGCTTCATTTAAAATAACGGTGAATTCTTCTTAAAAGTCGCTTATGTATCAGCTTGCTCACAACTTTACAGAAATTTTTAGAGTTTTGAAAAAACTAAGAGGGATAGCAATCTGTAAATACGTATATACTTCATCTAAACAGAAATATCAAAATATAACGTGATAAACTGTTCTTTAGCACATGGACAGCATCGCTGGATTAAATTCAATCAGGGGAAAGAACTAAAGGGACAGAGAAATATTAAATCAATACAAGTCTCATTTAGCAACAAGAAAAGAGCACTAGAGTATTAAGGATGCAACATCTCTCTAAAACACGAGACTCCATGGAGTCAGAATCGCTCACATGGCGGACGATGACGGACATAAGTTCATTTGGTCCTCTGGGCCAGGGATCAGAGCTAAAAAAGGGAAAATACTAGGAAAATTTTATCCATGTCTAACATTTTCTTTTGATCCCTCACCTATAGCAAATGAACTGTGTATAGCCAGGTGCAAATGGATTCACTTTGGAACATTTTCTTCCTGTTCATATGACATTTTTTGATACACTGTAAAAAAAAAGCTTTTGAAAAATAATTCTATAATTGTTACCTAAGACATGCCAACAGGTCACTGCTTTCCCACATCTTGGATTTTCCATTCCTCATTTCAATTGTCACTACATACGAGAATGACCTAACCAGCAGACGACACCATTGTTAGACATCCTTAACAAACAGAAAGCGGTACACTGTCACTTTGACAAAGCCAAGACGTTGTTTCTCATCTCTAAAAAGTTTCATAGCGAAATTTAAAATTTTCAAGTAGGTATCCCGATAAAGTTTTACATTAATAGTTTGTTAAGCTGGGCATAAATTGGCAGCAATATCAAATGGTTGAACCCGTGTTTGGGATTAAAACACGGCATTTCAGCACAAGGGAGTGTTCACCTTTAAGAAAAAGAACACGGAAATCTAGCGTTGCAAAAAAACCTTTTAAATTTGGATTTGCTGCAAAAGGTACTTAGACATTGACTTTTGATCGATCACAAGGAGGTACGAAATGTGCATATTTATAATGAAGCAGGTGGAAGAACTCCAAATCCCGGCTTTCTTTACACGATCCCGCGTGGTGAAGTGGTCTTTGAGTGATCTCTTAATAAATTGTTATCGTCATTTGTAAACTGTTTCGCTTTACTTTACAAGTTTAATAAATAAAGGACAACGGCATGTTTTAGGGTTTGATACAAGACCAAGTTGAATTTAATAAGTCCCAAGAAAAATTTCACTTGCACTCGTTACATATATCAAGACTTCTCAAAGTTCATTATAATGAAATCTGCTTATCAAAGTGCGTCAGACGAAGTTATTGAGAAAACAATTAAGTTTCGAAGTATATGTATACATATATGTATATACTACATGTACTACTCCCCTATTCCTTTATCTCAATGTTGGAATCATTGTACCTATGCTTACATTATCAGTGTTTTGTGATTTCGGAACTCCACACAAAGTGGAGATCCGAAATCACTAAACCTAGCTTAACATTGTGAGGAGGTAACAAGTCATGATTTGCCCCCCTCCTCCTCCAATCCGAGATTTCTCCGACTCTAATCCCCACTTTTTATATTGTTACATGTTAAGGAGAGAGTCTCGTCAGTCCCCTGCATATGACACCTTTTTTTCTAGAATGCTAAATCTAATTATCAAAGACAAATATTATATAATTGTTTTTTTTAACTCAAGTGCTTGTTAAAACACCATAAGTTAGAAATGAGAATGTTATTCCGTTTTCATATTGAATGTTCTAACTGCCTTTTGGCATTTAAATTGGAGAGAAAATATAAACACATATACGCATCAGCTTAATAATAAATACAAAATCGATAAAGGTATTCATAATACGACTAGGATCATGGCGCTTGTTTATCATGAGGTATGTATTGTGTGCAATAAAGAAAAGGCAAATTTGATGTATCTTTATTAATTTATTAAGTGCATTGATTGATTTTACTGTTTAGAGATAAAAACATTGCATGTGCCTATTTTTATAACAGCATTAAAAATCAGAGTACATGTGCTGTCATAAACGAGTTTTGTTTACAAACATACACCTAACAACAAATTATAAAATACTGAATTGATAATTACATATACTGAAACGTACTTGGTGTATTTAAAAAATTGATGGAGTTGAAACTAGATCTACTTTGAAATGAGAATTTGTAAATGAACATAATTTCAAATTTTCAGGGGACAGTCAAACCTGCAGGTGGAAACCACGACCCCGAGCAGGCATCCAATCGTCTGCATAAAGCCATACGGGGGCTCGGTAAGGGTGGCCCAAAGCAGCCTTGACATGTAGTATTCATGAGGGCCAATTTGATTTTTACTGTCATTAACTACATAGTAATAACCAATTCTAACATACAAATATAGCCATTTCATGGTTGATCTATAGATATAACGACTTCAAAGAAAAGCATACCGACCGAGTACAAAGTGCGAGGTCGACATACTTTTATATATCTGTGGATTGACCGAATGAAAGGGCTACACTTGTTGTTTTTACAGAGAAAGACAAAACAAAATTTAAAAAAATAAAGACAAGTTCACTGGGATAAATTGAAGCAACTTAGAATGAAGTGGAAGTAACTATTGTCAATTGATATATTATCTAAATGTCGAATTGACGGCTACAGCAAGTGTTTTTTCTTCTCAGGTGCAAGTTTTTAAATAAAATTCTGCTTCGTATGAATGCTAGTCTGCTAAAAAATGGGGCTCAAATGGTACCCATGGAAATTCCAACAGACTTTTGGAAGACCTATAATCTTCAAAAACTACAAAGATATTGTCAGTCAGAAACTCAAGCATCTTTTTAAATTCCACATCTGAATATTTGTGTGTACGATCAGAATGTTTTTAAGGACTTGTGCGACGTACTTATACACTGATTTTTCAAGATACTATTGTTTGCAGCTGACTGTAAAGTTTCACGTTACGTCACGATCTAGTTGACAGCTGCACTCAAGGTAAATTGTACACGCCTCCTAACCGTAAGCTTTACGACTGGAACTTTCTTCTTATCCCTGATTGGTTGCTCGTGCAACAGACTATTTCCGTATCAATGTTGATAATTTGAGTTGACCAATCACGTGAATTGTTTACGCTGGGTGCATCTGACGAAAAAAGATCGTGACGAAACGTGAAACTTGACAGTTAGCTGCAAACAATAGTATTCGTAATTTAAAGTCATAGTGATTAACAGTTTGTAGACAAAAAATCTGCATGCATTACCAGGGGTTTTAAAGAAAAATCAAATGATAAAAGTCATTGTATTTTCAATGAAGTTATTAAAGATATTGATGAACGTCGTATTTCTTAAAATTTGATTTGAAAATATAACAATGGTTTCATAGAAGTCCATCAAATATTAAAATTTTAAAGCAGAAATAGAGGCAAATGAAACTTAAAAAATTGTTGTCTGTGCCCTTAAACAAAATAGATCTGAAATGACCAGTTAAAAGATAAGTATATTTAAGAGTTCTAATTTTATTTCAAAAGCATCTGTGATGCCTTAACTTATTTATCAATGAGAATAGCTGTATAGAGTGCTGAGGAGTTGTACAAAACCAAGTTTATCAAAGTTCATGCTTCTCCCAAACCGCTGTAATACTTTATACATAATTTATACATTGGCTCACGGCTAGACAAAACATTCCTATTTGGATCTCTGATGAGATTTTGAAATGTATTAAAAAGGGCTTGCAATGCAAACTTATTTCTACATCATAGCTTTAATTTGGGTCAAAATGACCTAGTTCTTTATAAAGTTTCTTATTTCTTTCAGGAACTGATGAAAAGGTGATCATTGATGTTTTAGCTGGACACATAAACTACGAACGACAAGAAATCAAAAAGATGTACAAAACAATGTTTGGAAAGGTATTCTACGTAATATGTAATTGATATTTCATTTAAAAAATCTTTAAATTATTTACTTATTATATAACTTGGAGAGATAAAAAATAAATTTTCAAGATAAGAATATAAAACGATGAATTATCAGTAGTTAAGAAATAAAAACTCAAAATTTCTTCTAAAAATGTCTTTTAAAAAAAATTCTTTTGTTATTAGCATAATATTCTACTACAGATCAGAGATACATCAATAAAATCAAATTGACGATGCTCTTAAATTAGGCGCCTACATGTATGATTTTTAGGACTTGGTGGAGGACTTAAAGGGTGACCTCAGTGGTCATTTTGAGAAGCTGTGTCTATACCTTTTGATGCCAAGTAGAATGTTTGATGCTTGGTGCCTGTACCAGGCAATGGAGGTAAGGGGACAGAACTCAGTAGCTATGTCTATACCTTTTGATGCCAAGTAGAATGTTTGATGCTTGGTGCCTGTACCAGGCAATGGAGGTAAGGGGACAGAACTCAGTAGTTGTGTCTATACCTGCTGTGCCCATTTGACTGTATGATGCTTGGTGTTTGTACCAAACAATGGAGGTAAGGGGACAGAACTCAGTAGCTGTGTCTATACCTGCTGTGCCCAGTTGACTGATGGTTGGTGTTTGTACCAGGTAATGGAGGTAAGGGGACAGACCTCAGTAGCTGTGTCTATATCTGCTGTGCCCAGTTGACTAATGGTTGGTGTTTGTACCAGGCAATGGAGGTAAGGAGAAACTGTCTATACCCTATAACTGCTGATGCCTACCCATGGCAAAATGGAAGGCAGTTATTTAGCAGTTTCTTAACCTTCTCTGCACCTCTTAAAGCATGTTGGTCCCACAATAGAGCTCTGAGCAAAATAGGCAGTTTTCTAAGCCTTAACAGTTGTTGGGCAGTTTTGCACAGTTTGTTAGCAGTTCATGAGCAGTTATTTTGGTAAGATTTTTTCAGGACTGCCCATGGAAAAATGAACTGCCTATTTAAGCAGTAATTGAGCAGTACTTCAGCAGTTTTATGAGTTTCTAGCAGTTTTCAAGCAGTTTCAGGCATTTTGATTTTTAAAGTTGTTCCATAACTGCCAATGCCTGCGGAGTTAATATTTTTTTTCAATAGCAGTTTTCTAAACAGTAAGCAGTTTCTTTAGCAGTGTGTTTTAGCTTTAACCCTACTGGGGGGAAAGAACATTTTTTGTTAGCAGTATGTAAACAGTTTTCTTAGCCGTAAATATTCGATTTGATTGGAATCAATTGAAAGAGAAATTCTAATGTTGGGCTCAATGATCAATAAATATACACAACAGGAACCAACAAAGGCTTAGATTAATTGAAATGATGCAGACATTAAGTATCTGGTAGGAACACTTAATTTTATATATGTTTTTAAACAAGAAAGGTAATTAACAATATTTGTACTGCTTGAATCATATTTCAACTCTCTCATATCTTATAATATTTAAAGGGCACCTTTTAAGAATCACTGGCTCAATTCCATTTAACTTATCAAAGAGAAGCAAAATCTTTCATATAACCTCAACTAATGTTTTAGAGAAACAAATGTGCCTTTTTCATCTATATTGATAATGAAATTGTCATTGTAGCCTACAAGTACATGGATTAATAATTTCTACAGGATGGATTGTTTTAACATTTGTAGTATTATGAGTTATATAAATTAACGTTTAAAATCGATGTTTAAATTAATGTTTAAAATTGGCCCAATTAATGGATTATATTTTCTGTTAAAAATTTCAGGAATTATGTACATGTACATGCATGTCTTCAAAATGAGATTGCTTTACAGATAGTTTATTATCAATACATATTAAGCAGTTGTCCAACAATTAACTAAGCAGTTCAAAAACAGTACAAATGTATAGCTTAACAGTTTAGAAGCAGTACAAAATAACTGCTTACGAACTGCCTATGAACTGCTAACGAACTGCACAAAAACGGTTAAGGCTTAGAAAACTGCTTATTCTCTTCAAAGCTTTATTGTGGGTCCAAGATACCATAAGCAGTGCAGAGAAGGTTAAGAAAATGCTTATAAAGTACATGTACTAAAATGGTTTAACTGTTTAGGTTAAGAAACTGGTAAATAACTGCCTTCCATTTTGCCATGGGTGGTCGCTCCCTTATATATATAATTGTTTAGGTACTGCTTATTAAACTGTAAATCTACTGTTAGTTACCTGTTAGACAACTGCTTAATATGTACTGATAATATTAACTACACTGTAGCTGTGAAGCAATCTCATTTTGAGGACAATTGCATATTTCCTGAAATTCCTGTGATTTTTAGCAGAAATACAATCCATTAATTGGGCCAATTTTAAACATACAATTTATATCGTGTAATTACATATATCTCATAATACTGCAAATGTTCAAACATAAATCAACATTCTGAAAATTAATTAATCCGCGTACCTCTTAGCTACTGATAATTCTAAAATCAAAATAGATAAAAAGGTACATTTTTTCTAAAACATTAGTTGCAGTTAAATAAAAAAGATTTTGCTTATTTTATTAAATGGAATTGTGTCCGTGGTTCTGAAAAGGTGCACCAGAAATATAGTATGAGATGTACCATTGAAATAAGATTCAAGCAGTAAAATAATTACCTCTCTTATTTATGAAATTTTAAAAAATATATAGTGTACCTACCAGTTATTGTATGTCTGCATCATAATTTTAATTAATCTAAACCTTGTGGCCAACAGGTCCCTTTTCATGGCTATTTCCCTTTTTCCAACTGCACAACATGGCAGCCAAAATTCAATTTTGATGGTCAGTTGTTTAGTCCCTGTTGTATATATTTATTGATCATTGAGCCCAATTAACATTAGAATTTCTCTTGATCCCAATCAAATCGAATATTTAGTGCTAAGAAAACTGCTTACATACTGCAAACAAAATGTTCTTTACCTCAGTATGGGTAAAACTAAAACATACTGCTAAGGAAACAGCGCATTGCTTAGAAAGTTACTATTGAAAACTGTTTACTCCCCAGGCATTAGCAGTTATGAAACAGCAGAAAAAAATCGAACTACATTAAACTGCACGAGAACTGCCTGAAATTCATAAAACTGCTGTTCATTTTTCCATGGGTAGTAGACTGTTTGATGCCTGGTGTGTGTACCAGACAATGGGGGTAAGGGGACAGAACTCAATAGCTATGTCTATATATACATGTTGATGCTAAGTAGACTGTTTGATGCCTACAATGTACTTATAGAATTTAAGCAATACTTTAAAGTAACCTGAATGCTGTATAAAAAGATAATGTTAATTTCTGCAAGAGCAATATAATCTATTACCACAAGTAATGCTAAGTAAATTTTCTATCAAGTTGGGCTTCTACATTTAATTGAATTTCTCTTATCCAGGGCTTAGGGACTGATGAAGAAAGACTTATAGAAATTCTGTGTACGAAAACAAATAGTGAAATCCAAGACATTAAAGAGGAATATCAAACTTGTAAGTATCGACTATATGTGTTTCATTTTTTTATGTTCACTAATAGTTGACAAAATCACCAGGTACTTAGCCTGTTGTAAAGCTGGGAGTTGATTGGAGGGGGTATCATCTTATCAGCTTTACTGATCCAACTGTCTTTTAAGACTTTTAAAACTGAATGAAGTAAGATTGCTTCAAAATTTCCAGTTTTCAAAAGATCATTACAAGATGATGTAAGGAAAGACACAAGTGGCAATTTTCAGCACATTCTAATTAGCCTACTACAAGGGAACAGGAGCGAAGACCAAGAGATGGATGACAAAAAGGTCCAAAAAGACGCCAGGGATTTATTTGAGGTATCTAACTAATTTCTATCAAAAAAGGAATTCTCTCTTTGTTTTAAAATATAGTGGAAAAGTTTGCTTTTTGAATTAGGTTACTTACACCTGAAAAAGTTTTAAAACACTATTCTTCTAGCAGGGGCATATCACTTGCATTGTCTTTGAAAATTTGAGTTATCCCTCTTAATCTGATGTGAACTTAATACTGTCAGTAAAATTAATGACTGCTTTCTTTTCATTCATTTAAATAGATAGAATTATACGAGCAGGATAATTTTAAAACAATATTCTAGTCTTCCAAGCAATATTACTTACAGGCAGGTGAGAACAGAGTGGGGACCCATACGTCTGTCTTTAACAGCATCCTTGCCTCTCGCAGTCCCCCTCACCTCCAGGCCGTGTTTGAGCAGTACAGAAGGATCAGCCAGCAGGACATAGAGGGCGCCATCCGATCCGAGACCAGTGGAAATCTGTGCAAGGCTTTCCTGGCTATTGGTATTGTAGATATCATTATGATATCGCTTAACTTTACAAGGCTAAACTTTTAGGTTAAAGAAAAATGAATTTCGTTTGTTGCATCTTTTTTATAGGGTATGATTTCGTGGTTGAAGAAGAGACGCGATATTGTTAATATTTTCACATTTCAGAACATGGTTCATAGGTTCTCTTCATAATTCAAATTGCAGAATCCTCAGGAAAAATTAATGGATTTTGTGATTTTTTTACATAAAATTTTGTAGATTTCACAGAAATGTATTTCTGTCATTATATTCAATATCGAAAAATGAATGTATATTATTCCGCTTTTATTTACAGTAAAGTGTATAAAAGACCCAACAGAATACTATGCAGAATGTATCCATAAATGTATTAAAGGACTGGGAACAAATGATGAAAGACTCATGGAATTAATTGTCTCCCATTCTGAGGTATGGAGGCAGTATTAAGGACAGATGATACAAACAATTTTTTTTTCTTTGAAGGAAACTTAATATCATGTCACAAGTTTAGAGAAGTGGATAATTCTTAGAATTTTCTCTCCTAAGAACTGGAAAATGAAATAGACTTGGAAAATATTACTCATATTTCAATATAATTTGAAATATGGACGAACCACACTCATAAAGGTTTACAAATGGAAACAAATTTCAGAATATGTTATCTTGGTGCTAAAAGAATAATATAATCTTAAGAGATATATACCAAGCCAGGTGAATTTTATTTGGAAAGGCAAGATGGTAAAAATCAGCCCATATAATGATGCTGATTTTTTGTCATTTCGTTTTTTCTCACAAAATTCATCTGGCTTGGTATATTTTTCTAAAGTTTATATTACACTTTTAGCATCAAGGTAACATATTCTGAAATTTATTTTCACCCGTAAACCTTTACTGAGTGTGATTTGTCTATATTTGTTTTTTTATTGAAATATTAGTAATATTTTCCAAGTCTATTCCCTTTTCCAGTTTTTAGGAGAAAAAATAATTCTAAGTATTATCCACTTTTCTAAACTTGTGACATGATATTAAGTCTCCTCCAAAGAAAAAAATTGTTTGTATCATCTGTCCTTAAGTAAAATCAGATGCACATTCATAACATAAATTTGCAAAAAAATATTTGATTTTAATTCATTTTATAAATATAGTCTTATAGATTCCATTATGTGGTTTGTTTTTCAGATTGACTTGAAAGATATTGGGGATGCATACTTAAAGAAGTATGGAGAGAGTCTGCCTCTGGCAATAAAGGGGGATACAAGTGGAGACTACGGCAAACTGCTTGTGAGACTTGCCACACCCCAGTGATTCACCCAGAAACATCACTATTGCTCCAGTCAAAAGAATAGCAGCATGTGTATTTGCTGTGCCTTGTTTAGGGTACAGGGAATTCATCAACAAGTGATAATGTGATCTTGGTACACATAAAGTTACGTGAATTCTAAGACCATTGCATATTTTTCAGCTATGTGAAGGAAACAGTTATCAAAAGCCCTATCACATACACTGTGGAAATAAGTGGCAGAATTGCAGATATCAAGCTTATCCTGTTCTTTCTCGTGAAAAGGGAATAAAGTGTTAGTATACATATTCCAGACTTTACTGTTTCTTATACTTTTGATCACTTAGCTTAATAAAAACACTTAATACATCTGTTTTATTGTTTTGTTTTTAATTACATGCATATAAAACATTAAATCTTGATCTTTGCTTCGTGATAAATGTTAACATAACTGACATCAATCTGGAAATTAATGGTCAAATCCATCCACATGGATGTAATAATTAAATAAAATGTTAATTAAATATAATAATTTATCAGAAGGAGACCTCTGATCAATACATAGGGTTCATTGCAGGTGTGATCAGACAACAATGGATGCTTGCTCCTCCTAGACACACGATCTCTCCTTGTGTTTTCATTATTAAACTTAAGACAATATTAGAAGCATGCTTAAATTTGACAGTACTCTTAGTGCTGTTAAATCTGAATTATGTATTTAATATGTATATTTATAGATGCATAATTTCTGTGAATGATCAGTATTATCTTAACTTCTTTTTAGGGACATAGGGAACATACCTTCCCTACTGATAATTTTTTTCATGATATTCTAATTTTAAATTCATAGTACCAATACATGTAAAATGCGTTACCAGGGGGTTTTAAAAGATATCAAATGATAAATTTTCTTGTATAACTCAAAGAAAAGTATACAAAATATTTAAACTTAAATTCCTATTTTCTTCATCAAAATTTGTTTAAGAAGAGGTGTACAACACCGTATATAGAAATTAAAAGAATTGCTCACACATCATTCATATTGTGGAATTCTTCAACTCCAGGGAGTCATAGTTTGAACAAACTTGAATCTACACTACCTGAAGATGCTTCCATATTAGTTTTCTGACCCTGTGGTTCTTGAGAAGATTTTTTTAAAACATGCCACAGATTTTTCACTATTTCTTTAATTATGTCCTCTTGGAAAATTGCATGGCCCTAATTAATTTGTACAAACTTGAATATCCTTCACCCAAGAATGCTTTGTGGCAATTTGGTTGAAAATGGCCAAGTGGTTCTGGAGAAGAAGTTAAAAATGTGAAAAGTTAACAGACGGACAGACAGACGGACTACAGACAAATTGCGATCATTCACTTTTGCTTTTAGCTCAGGTGAGCTAAAAATGATAAACTTTGTTTGAATACTAGCAGGCTTAGAGACTATAATTTTGGCTGAACTGTGGCATATGAAAATGTCTCCTTTTCTCTTCTTAAAACTACAGAACAATAATTTTTTCATAATTTTGAATGATAAAAGAGTCTTAAATAAATTTTCTGAAGAGCTGAAATTAATAAGTATGGACTGGATTTTTAAAATATATCAAATAAAAAGATTTTCTTAAAGTTCAATATTGCTAGCTTTTGAAAGCTTACTTTATGAGAACAGATTTAAGCAAAATATCAATAAAAAGCGATTTCTCTCTCTAACTTAACGATCAGCACAGTGTAATGTAGTGACATGAGATAATATTTTTTATGTCTAAAGTTTTTCTCATTTTTCCCTTATGTAACTTATTTACTTACTTTACTTCAAAAGAAAGCAATTAGAGCATCAAATTCCTTTTTTGTTCACATTATGTAAATGTTGATGAATGCTTTTATTAAATTAATTTGATTGGTGCTTCTCAATCAGAAAAACAAGTCCTAAAATATCTAATGAAATACTAGTATGTCGGTATACCTTTCATTGAACAAAAAGTTTTACCAAGCACAAGGGCTTTTTTTGCAGATTTGCATTTTTTTTTTCAGCTGATACACAACCAAACTGCTTCTATTTCTTTATTAGCTTCCATCTTGAAAATGTTTCTTAAAGATTTTAACAGCCCTAAATCTGTGAGAAATGGCGTTCGTTGTTTCTTCCGGCATCTCAGCATAAGTTTGTGTGAACCCCTCCGGCTGGAAGCAACGATCCCAAGCTTCCCATCCAAAATCATTCAATCCCCTGGGTTTAACAATTTTTCCTGGTGCTTTTCCACAAAATAATTTCACTTCAGAGTCTTTTTCACCTGAGCTGTAGGCTAAAATACACATGGCTGTTGCTGATTTATCCTCAAAACCATGTAAAATTTTATGTAGACCTGAAACAACAATTAAGATTGATAAGGTTAAATGTACAAGAACCAGTGGAATATTCAATATTTTAAAAAAAGTATAATTTGTCATTTTTCACCCTCTCCTCCCAATAAATAATGATAATCAAAAAAAAATAAATAACAAGAAGTCTGTGAGCGAATGCTCAATAGTAATATCCCCGCCCTGATATGAATATATCATGTTGATATACACAAGATCAGGTACAAGCAGATCACGGATAAAAGTGTGTGCTAAAATTTCAAGCATTTGTAATGAGTAGTTGCTGAGAAAACTGTGATGAAAATTTGTTTTGTATGGTACCGACAGATGCACTGATAAACAAGCAGTTGACATTGCATTTGAACAAAAAAAGATGAACCCCACCATAATTAAACCATGTCTCAGCAAAGTTTGTGCTAAAATTACGAGCATCTGAAATGAGAAGTTGCAGAAAAACATTATGGTTATGTATGATACGAATAGACGCATAGATAAACAGGAAGTTGACATAGGATTGGAACAAAAATGTCTCCCACCATATGAAATCTCTCTGCAAAGAATATGCTGACATTTCAAGTGTCTGTGATCAGTAGTTGCCGAGAAAATTGCAACCAAAAATTTAATACGGACAGACAGACAGCTAGACAGACAGCCAAATGGACAGACACAGAGGAGTTAAACAGTATATTCCCCTCTCCTTCGGAGCAGGGGTATAAATTCACAGATGGGGTATAAATATCAACAACATATATGATTTAAAAAGAATTTCTGCGTGTAAATCTGCAGGGAATTGAAAAGGAGAACTCATGGTTTAATTTAAGATGCAGTAATATTTTACCTTCTGGTTTTAGTTTCTTGAGGAACCACTTAATGTAAGGACCTGGGAGACCACCCAAAGCATTGAAACAGAGACTGGTGTCATCTGTCACCACCGGACACTTGAGCTGTTCTGCAGCCAGCTTACACTTCTCCCTTGCAACTTCCTCTGGCTCTCCTTGAAATTCTGGCAAATCAATATCTGCATTGGTTATCTAAAAATTGTAATACATGTACCTGTTTAATTATCAACTTAATCACAACATTGATTTCGTACACAAGGATGTCGAAAAAGTTGAATGATATAATCACCTTGTAAGGAAAATCCTCTCCCAGTATTTGCATAAATTCTTTTAATTTGCTTTTATTACCAGTGCATAGAACAATTTCTTTTATTTCCTTCTGTTTGTTTGCTTGAAACATCATTAATCTTTTCCTGAAGTTAAAGAAATTCAATTGAAATTGTTATCCGTGCACTGCTATTTCTAAGTTAGCTCAACTAGCTTTGAACAGTTCTATGGACGATTTTGACCATACCTCACAGTGATCAGGTATATTGTGGCCCCACCTTGGCCCTAAGGAATTATGATAAAATTCAACTTAAATCTTCAAGCACAGGAAATCATAGATTAGAGCTCACCTCCACAAATGTTGGCTTTACGTCAAGCAAAGTCCAACACTAGATTAATGATACAGACCAAAAACCAAAAAAGTACAAATCAGCCGTAGGGTAGGGTGGTACATTAAATTCAAAATTTTGACGGTCTTGTCACTCCACTATAGCGTGAGAGAAATTGACCATTTAAAACGAATTTAGGGTTTCATAATGTCAACAGGACAGACTGACCTAGATCTATTAGACAGGAATGGACTGACCAAGGTTAAATTCATGGGGTAGCACAATAAACATAAGGTTGTCTTTCGGTTACCTGAGAAAAATATGGGCCTTACTATTGAATATTTCTAAAAATATCTCTGTGAAAATAAAATTTTTGAGTGGGAGCGAGTTTGAATAGGGCAGTGGATGACCTTCAAAGAAACAAATTATATTTTAAATTCTTATCAAAGAGTTACGAACGCTATTAAACGTGATGTGCACTTCATTGCGGAACTAATAGAGTTACGCAGTAAAGAATTTGAAAACAATGACAATCTATTTCTACGTTTAATGACGTTCCTAACTCTTTGACAAGATTCTTAAATACAATTTGTTTCTTTGAAGACCATCCATCGTCCGATTCAAACTCGCTCCCACTCAAAAATTGTATTTTTCATTTTATACAAATACATGGCTTATTCTTAAGTTACCTGAGAAAATTATGGGCCTTACTATTGAATATCTCTTTAAAATATGATGAAAATTATCATTTTGATTCAAGAAATCAATTTTTTGACATGAACAAATAGCAAGTAATACACAGTCATCTTGGTAAGCACATATTTTATAAATAGGCACAAGTTACTATAAAATGACAAAAAAAAAAAAAAAAACATTATCTACCCATACGTGTGAAATGGAAAAAATGGGGTCACAGAGCATTGCCAAAATTGAGATACATTCTAATTTTCACTTTAAAGTATCTATAGCCACACCTCTAATAAATGGAGCTGAAACAAAGTAAAATTTACCTGTTTAAAGTCTTTCTGCATTACTTAAGATGCTAAAGAGTATATAAGGTTGTGTAATATATCCTTCTGTTAAATAAGATCAGTTCCTAAATACAAATGGACTTGATTAAAAGAAGTCAAAAAACCATGACGTTGGTGGACGTAAAGGAGCAGCAAGTAGCGATAAAATTTTGCTTTGCATTCGGGAAACTTCTTTAACAAACTTAATAAATTCTGTTTAAACCAGGAAATGTATGAAAAAATAAGCCATGTGTTTGCATAAAATGGAAAATACATGTACAATTTTTGAGTAAGAGCGAGTTTGAATCGGACGGTGGATGGTCTCCAAAGAAACAAATTATATTTTAAAAATCTTATCAAAGAGTTAGGAACGTCATTAAACGTAGAAATAGATTGTCAATGTTTTCAAATTCTTTACTGCGTAACTCTATTAGTTCCGCAATGAAGTGCACATCACGTTTAATTACGTTCCTGACTCTTTGACAAGATTTTTAAAGATAATTTGTTTGTTAAAGAAGTTTCCTGAATGCAAAGCAAAATTTTATTGCTACTCGCTGCTCCGTGACGTTATTTCCCGATGATGACAAGGAACAGACGGCGGGTGTGACCGGTCGGCAGGAAATGCTCACTCCTCCATTGCGCCTGATCCAACCTCTGATATTTTGAAGGTCCGTGTTTGCTCTTGTCCTGTTTTGTATTGTTTTATGAATTTTTTGATCTTGAATATTGTTCGTTATCTCCATATGTTTCAATGACACTTCACGTTTGGACAAAATAAATGTTCTTATTTACGAAAATTTGTTGATCTATAATCTTGCTACACTAATATGACGATGAGGAACATTGTCTACGTATTTTTTCAAATGACCGTCATGAATGTTGCAGGATTCAATTGAAAATCCGGATTCAAAAGTGATGTTAATATGTTGTGAAGGGACTTGGCTATGTTGAACCGTGACTGAGTTACGTTGTTAAGGGACTTGGTTATGTTTAAGCAAGACAGAGTTATGTTATTCAGAGATTGGGGTTTGTTGTTCAGTGACTTTTTTACATTGTTAAGTGACTGTTCAGTGACTGCTCAACTGTGATTAAGTTATGTTCCTCAGTGAATGGAATATGTTGTACAGTGGTTAGGTTACATTGTTCAGTGACTTGGTTAAGTTGAACTTGTCTTGGTTAAATTCTGATGTTCAAGGACTTTGTTATGTTGAACCATGACTAGTTTACATTGTTAAGTGAATGGGTTATGTTGAACCGTGACTGGGATATGTTATTCAGAGACTTGGTTATGTTCAAACATGACTGGGTTATGTTTCTAAGTGAGTGGGATATGTTGTTCACTAGCTGGGTTATGTTGAATCGTGACTTGGTACGGTCGTTCAGGGACTTGGTTATGTTGAACTGTGACTGGGTTTTGTTGTTCAGAGACTTGGTTATGTCGAACCGTGACTAGGTTTTGTTGTTCAGAGAAATGGTTATTTTCAACCCTGTTTGGGTTATGTTCCTCGGTGACTGGAATATGTTGTACACTGGCTAGGTTACATTGTTCAGTGACTTGCTTAAGTTGAACTTGACTGGGTTAAATTCTGAAGTTCAGGGACTTGGTTATGTTGAACCATGACTGGTTTACATTGTTAAGTGACTGGGTTATGTTGAACCGTGACTGAGTTATGTTCATTCGCCTCGGTGTCATAATATACTCTTCAAAAAAGCAACTCATTGAACATAAAGATTGCATAGTAAGATTATGTATCGATAATACAGAAATGTGGTTAACAATAGGATTACTATCTAAATATCATAATTATTCGAGAATTTTAAAATCATTGACAGTTTAAGGTAATTAAAGATCAATAAATGCTATGCCCCCCACAGACACAAATGATAGCCCAAAGGGGCATCTAATGGAAGCAAATGTGTGTAATAAAGGCTGTGTAGGAACACTCTTCGACTCTAAATGTAGAGCTTTGGTCAGCTGTTGCAGAGTCTGGGGATGCGATTGTCTTTGGCAAATGATGTAAATCCATGTTGTCCAATGCTGCTCAACTGGGTTTAAATCTGGCGATTCAGATGACTATAGCAGAAACAGGTTGCTTTGCAAGAATGGGAGTGTCAAATGAGCCATATGTGGCTGTGTATTGTCAGATTGAAATACGGCTCTTAGATGTTGCAAAGTTGACAAAGTTCACATGTGCAGATTGAACATCGTTAGATTACCTTTTCTATCAAAGTCCTCTGGATACGAAGCAAATCAAACTTACATTTCTGTTATACTGTTTTCCATATCATTACACTACCACCACCATGTTTTCTAACGTCTTGGAGGCAGTTTTCTGTCTAACGTTTATTACGAAGCCTTAGCACTCAAACTTATAGCAGGCTTTCTGATAAATATTTTGAACTAGGAGCTAAACCGAAAATTTCAGCAGGAGTTAGAACAATTGCATGAATAATCATCTTGCAATAATTCAAAGTCAACTGAAAACGGTCTTGTTAGATGGTCCGCGCAATTCAGGGATAGCTAATGCTGTAGATGACATTATTGTATTACATTCATGAAATTCACGTAATCCTCTGAAGTAACCGACCCTATGCTGCTGATGTCATTCGAGGTCTCCCGTATTTTTTGCGAACATTTGGTGTTCCATGTTAATGGTTTACAGGTTAGATATGGTCTGTGCGTAATATTAAAACCTTGCAATTATAGGCTGCGATACACCTGTTCACAGTCACCCATTTTCCTTTTTGTGCCATGATGTAGCATTTTTAGAAATCATCATTTTTTCAGAAAAAAACAGACGGAAAATATCGAGAACCCCCACTTTTGATAGTCCCTTTGTGCCTGATGGAATTGCATCAGAAACCAACAAATGCAAATTGAGATCAAAACTTTTTGAGGCATTTTGCCAAATCAGTTCTTTTTGTCTGTGAGATTTGTAGAATACATGTAAAGTTAATTGCATTAAAAAATAAGGCATTTTACTCGAATGTATACATCCAAAAAAGGTATGACAAAACTATCATACTTTTTTAGGGTATTGTTCCTACTATACCTTTCGTTTTTTTTATGAGTATATCAGGTCTCAGATTATCGTTCGTATTAGTTGCCACACATGCAGTTGTATATTGCATCGGTATCGAATGTGTTCTACTACAAAAAACAAGAGGTCCATGGGCCACATCGCTCATCTGAGTAGCTTTAGCCATTCTGTCATTTAACAGTTTTCCCGCTTTGTAATACCTATCTTGACCTTGACAATCCTAATGGTCATGATTCAAACAATTAAGAATCTACACTTCCCCAAGCTACTTCCACATAAGTTTCAGCTTTTTTTTAGCCAACTTGTTCTTTCGAAGAAGATTTTTAAAGTTTTGTTCCCCATATACTTCAATGTAAAACTTGGATTCCCTATTGGGGCTCCGCCCTACCCCGGTGGTCATGATTTGAAGAATTTAGAATCTACACTACACCAGGATGCTTCCACATACCGTTTTCAGCTTTTCTGGCCCAATGGTTCTTGAGGAGATTTTTAGAATTTTCTTCTATATATTTCTATGTAAAACTTGGATTCCCTATTGTGGGCCCGCCATGATTTAAACAATTAGAATCTACACTACCTCTGGATGCTTCCATATAAGTTTCAGCTTTCTGACCCAGTGGTTCTTGCGAAGAAGATTTTTAAAGTTTTTTTCCTATATATTTCTATGTAAAACTTGGATTCCCCATTGTGGCCCCGCCCTTCCCCCGAGGGTCATGTTTTGAACAATTAGAATCTACACTACCTCAGGATGCTTCCATAAAAGTTT